CTGCATCGACCACGCAAGAATGTAACCCTTGTCATTTCTAGCAACCAGATTACTAAAAACATTTTAATACAATCATGAAATCAAATTAACTTAACTTCAAGCTTTTTTATATTAAAGAAAACAAATTATTTTCATTGCATTTGAATGACATAACATCGCTATTTTCCAGTGTTAACATTAACAAAGGCTTAGTGGGATGACATCATTGAACACTGTCGCACTATTGGAATGAGTCACAAATACTTTGAAGGCACGTTATGCACCGTTCCGTTTGACAGTGACAGGCGCCGGCGCATGCCACTTCCACCCATGCAACGAAAATAGTTACACGTGAGGAAAAGAGTTATATCCTTTCAACTGTAAAGAGATGTAACCTTTTCCGTAGAAAGAGTCGTTAAATAAAAAGAAAATAATATGTGGCTGAATTAATTGTGATACCTTTGCCTAGATGTCCATAAATCAAAAAAATCTTCAAATCGTACTTTTACAGTGAGATCTTACTAACAAACCACACATATCTACCAAATATAACGTTGTCTCTAATTGTGTGTGGAAAAGCTGAAATTATGTTTTCGTATAGGTTAAACATCACAAAACTTAGTTTCCCGCCCAAATTTCAAAATAAATCAATAAGTATTATTAATTTAGGTTAATCTAATTTATAGCTGGAAAAATTTTAATCTTTACCCGCAAAACGTTTACACTAACACGCAAAAGGACGTGTTTATAAAATTAGCATTGACTTGAAAGTCTTGGTCCGTTTTGAATTCTACAAGTTCATTCTGCATAAAAACTTATCTATTCAAGTCCATCTTAATTTTTTATCAGGTAAGCGGAATTCATAAACATATCGTTGAACAGAGGTAATAATTAAACATATTAATAATTAGTAAGGATAATAACCTTTCTAAGCATGTTACTACATAATACCTGCTTCCTAGAATCATTTATTTACGAGTCTTGCATATTATTAATCATAATATAGCAGTAACGCTTTACAATATACGGGGTTTGATTCCTTTTCCTTTCGTTAGGTTAGTGTAGTTACAGTAACGAATGATTATAGAATTAACTCAAATGTATGGAAAGTATTTTTTGTGTATTAAAGTATTATTTAATATCGCTTACACCGTTATTGAAGCAATCATAAAACGATTTAAGAATAAAACATATAATGAAATGATAATACCAACAACTTCCCAGACAGTCTACAAAGGAAAAAAACTGTTTAATATTAAATTCATAGTCTACCTTAGCCACTAACTGCTTGCCACACGAATAAGAAGACAGCTACAAGCGTCGTTGCAAAGATAAAGCCTCCAATTCAAGGACCGCACACACCACGAGAAAACTTGTTGTCACTGTTTCGAAACGCACCAATTCACTAATATATATTATTGTATCAATAAATACAATTCACTTACACAACAGAATATAGTTATGGTAAAATTTAACTAATTTAATATCGTTTTAAAGCACAAACAGGTATTATTTACGACACAAAATTTGCCGCGCACATTCAACACACCTGTGCAGCACAACAATTTCGTAGAGACTGAAGGCGTTGCTAGACAGAGATAGAACTATGACGCGGGACAGAGAAACATCGTGACGTGTAGGACGACCGCTAAGCTTCAAGAACGCACAATGCTCTACTTTCCCAGCATATTGTTTTGATTTTAATGAAAAAAAAATCATTTTTGTTTCATTTCGTGTTAAAGTACAATAATGACAATCAATCAATCACAAAAGAATAAAAGAAAAATTATTTTGAAATACCTCTGACTCAGTATTTAATTATTGCAAAGTGCATTTACCCTACAAAATAAAATAAATTAAAATGATAACAATTTATTTACAAAAGAAAACTGATGTTTAAAAATAATGGAACATAAATAATACTGTCAACAATAATTTTCAAAAACAAAGTGCATTAATATTTTTTTTTTATATTTGTCCGTACGTTTGTGTGTAGTGTGCGCAGAACCGTACCTCCTGTTACCTGGCACGGGCGGCCACGGCGCAGCGCCCCGCTCCCCGCAGCTCGCCCTGCTGAGCGTACGTTACAAAATTTCAATTCAAACTTTACGATTCTCTACATCAAATTAACATTCTGTCGTTATATTCTATGCAAAATTAGCTTTGTTTACTGTAACCTCGATACATGATAAAGCAAATATAAGAATTATAAACGAAGATTTACTACTTATTAGGTAATTTCGGTTAAATGTTTGTTCCGGTAACATAGGGTAACTTTCAAACTTGGGGTTACCTTGGGGTGTTTGTTCGCAACATAACCTGTTGCCAGGTCCCTTTTTTAGATGTTTCGCTTTCGTTCTTATTGTATTTCTTATCTAAAGTTGAAACTTTTTCTATTAATATTTAAGTAAGCTATTCTGGTTTTATGATTTACTTTTATATTTTTCTAAAAACAAATTAGCGTCCGTTGCTGATATTATTATCTGTGATAAATTAGTTGTCTGTCATTAAAAATCTAACGTTACACGTACATTAGGCTATAAAATCTTTAAAAAATATTTCAAGTCATTAAACTTTAAATTATTTTTACGTAAAGTTTCACACATTTAAACTTGCACATTTTAAGTCAATGTATTGTTGACCGAAGATTGGGGTAGTAAAGAATATCCACAACAGGTAAAGACGTAGACAGGTGCCTTTTTGATACCATATTGTCATTTTGTACATCTAAATGGTGGTTAAATATAGAAGTGTTGTAAAATAAGGTAGATTTTTTCTACTGTCACGGTTCAATGGTGCAAATAATGTAATATAAAATTATAATACGTTTCGTTTTATGTGAATAATAATTTTTGCATTTAAATTTTTAACTAATGTATTGAGGCGAATTAGGAAAGTTGTGTTTGTATTGTAGGAATATCAAACTGATTTCGATTACTTTTTTTCTAGTGTCACATCAAAAAGCAAGGATATATCATTTGAAATCTTGTGGTATAAATAATTTTTTCGTTTCTTATTAATTATCTTAATTAGTTAATTTCTTTAACAATGTACTGGATGAAGTCTTGAAATCATTTTTGTAATATGAAGAGACATGACTAAATTGTATTAAAAAAGAGGCGCAAAATCAATTCTAAAAAGACCTCGAAAGCGAACCTTACAAATTATCTTGAAAATATCGATTGAAAACTCAAAATATACTGAATAGTTTGTGTATCAAATTTGTATAATAGTTTTCTTGAGATTAACTTAACCTTTAGTTAATAATATTTAAGTATATTTATACAGAATGTAGATGTGTTAACAAGATAGATTAACCGTTGGTTTTTACAACCGAAAAAGCTATAGGTACAAATATTTGTATGAGAGAGATGATTGCGTTTTATTGAGCATGGAAATCTACGGTTAGATAAGCCTTATAACAAACAAGGTTATATGTAGTTATCTTTACAATCATTCTTTATTCGATGATATTCATAAATTCTAGGTTAGATTTACATTCAGTAAATGCCATTATTACAATCGTGTAGTTGTATTATATTACTTTAACATTGTTGACCTGACTATAGTCTGCGTATTTTAACGTTGACTCATAGTTTTGAAGACCAAAAGCATTACTTTTATGGTACAAATTACATTTTAGTACAACTGGCAGGGTAATATTTTTCTCCATTAAATTTTAACATCCTGTAACTTTGACTTGATCAAAGCGTGATTCATTATATTTGTATTCTACGCCTAGAGTAATAGCGGTACTGTTTTTTTTTACTAATTAGTTATTTAATGTATAAAATAAGGGATATACAAGCAGATGTAACCTTATTCGTCGTTGCCTGGAATTTCGCAGTTTGCACAGATGTAAGTTATCGAAAACGATAGGTTACGTAAAGAGAAAGCTGCTTACGGTATAGGTAGAGTTCAGTTTGGTTAGACATGCCCTCGCTAGAAAATAGCTATAGTGCTAATAGATTGCCTGTGTAGTATAATACAGTAGATTGCCACTGACGAAATATTGATTTTTTTTTCATTCTATCTCAAATAACTGTTTGTTTTTTTTTAATCAAATTTAGTGATATTGTTGCCTTTTAAATGTATCATAAACTAGAAAAATATCTATTAATTAAATTTAATTATTTTCGATTACTTTTTTGTTTTTTACTTGCGGGAAGTTTTGATAGGTGTGTTGTATAACAAGTTACACATGTTAATTCTGATATGTGAATAACATACAATAAATACATGCATACAACAGGAAAAAACATACATATCGGTTCTTATTGGTCCACTATACGACAAAGTATATTTAAAATATGCAATAATATTCAATCGACGCTCATACTACGTGAAACGTAAAAATATGTCTGATCATTGGCTTCATATGTGTATTCGAACTGTATAACGAGTATTACTATTAAGAAAATTGACGATACGAATATGATTAAATATCTAAATCACAGATAGGGTTGCCACTTTTTTCCAATAAAATAATAAAAATGACTTTGATAAAATTTTTAAATAATTTTTTTCCGCGTATTTCGCTCACTAAAATACAATTATTGTCAAATGTTATGTCAATTTAATTTACATTATCATATCAATAGATGGCGGAACATATTACTAGATCACGATATTGATTGATTTGGTATAGTTATCGACTTGCCGATCGAATTTAATTAAAGTTGACTCGCACCAAGATAAACCAGTGTTTCATTGCGAATACTCGATACATCTCCAGTGAGAGGGAGACTTTTTGAGACTGCTTTACAATTATATTGATGTTTTTTTTAAATGACTTAACATTTTACAATAACAAGTTAGAATAAATATTATATAATATTTTTATATTTTCCAAGTAATTATTTCTCTGATACAAAACCCATCAAAATATATTTCATATTGGAACTTTTTCGGCTGTAATCATTGATTCGGATAAAAGAAAATTATTTACACATTTGTCAACATGGACATATTTTTCGTACACAAAAATATTATTAATAGAATTTAAATAGAGTTGGTTGACGATACAAATGTCGACAACCCTATGACAGTGCATAAAGATAAGAATTATTGAATAAGTTGACGCGTCGGTGCTTCCTAAACGTGTTATCAGAAGCACTGACTGTTGATATGAATCGTGCTTCTTATCAATACCTCATTGTTATACAGTTTCCCGCGAACCGTTTACTTTATGTGTCGTTTTGTGTTACGTGAAATATGTAAGTAATGATTTAAATGAGTTAAATTTATAAATTATTTGTAAATAGAGGTAAATTAAGTAGCCTATATATTCTCCATGTTATGTTCTAAATCTATGCCAAATGTCAGCGATATCCATGCAGCTGTTCTGCAGATACCTTCGAGCAAACATCCATCCATCCATCCAAACATTCGCGTTCATAATATTAGTTAGAAGTAATATTAGTAAGATAAGATTAAAGTAAAATGGTTGTTCGATGAACACCACTCATTTCATAAATCGTTTTTAATCTCAAAACCGTAGCTTGGATATGAACAATGCATTCCCGTAGAATACGGGTAAGGGAGAAGACGTTTAGAAAGGGGAAATATCTTGTTCTTATGCGTCCCCTTCTTTATCCATAAAAGGTACCCAACGCATTAGGTACCTGGCTATTGGTCACCTTAAAAAAACTGTCACTATGACGTGTGGTCTATCACTGGCCGGATATATTTTGTATACTATGCGTATGACACTCGACCTTATAAATTATTCTATTGAAGTCAATTGACAGATCGCGCGGGTGCAGTAGTACGGGACAGTGCGGGACACTCACTCGTGTTTTCAACAAAATAGTTAAGTTTACTTTAAAAGTGTTTATATATTTAAATGGTTTAGCCCTCGATACAATTTTGGTTAATTAACAAAAAAATACCTAATAGTTTGAAGTCAATAGATATCGGTGTTGTTTGATTAAATTCTGGTTAATTTCTGGTAAAATATGCATGTCATTAGAAAACTTCGCTTTTTCACGGAATATATTTGGGCTTTAAAATCCTATGCAAATTTCAATTTGCGTCATTCTGATTTACTGTTTATTCTTAAATTTTTTTTTTATTTGAATATACATTTGGTTTATTATAACACTGGCTGGTTTTATATCGAAACATGCCATATCATTTCATCATCTTTTGAAGATACAATCCTAGATCCTTTAACATATTTATATCTTATCAATTTATATATCCGTACATACACATTTATATTATATATTTTAACTTAAGTTGTTTTTCTTTTCATTAACTTAAATTTTGTTTTTTATTATATGTATACCGGAGTAACTGATAATTGTTAAATACTAAGATGTCGTGAGTGTGGGTTGTTGTAATTTTGTGGACTGAATATTATATACCTATCTGAATATCGGTGCCCACGATACAGGCATTGCCTAGTGTGGCCATCACTAGATTATCCAAATTAACCATAAATGGTAACTTAAGTCTAATTTAATTTCTTAGTTATGTGTAATTTTATTATGTTAGTTATTGTTTCTTGGTTTAATCTGTATTACCTATAATAAAAACTTTTCTTTCTTTCTTTCTTCATTATAAACATATTCTTGCACGATACCAGAAAATGAAGGTGATATCACTACATTAGAGCTGAGGATGTCAAGAGAGGGAGACATACTGTGTTCATTATACCACACATGACGATTGAACTGGGGTGAATTGCTACTTTATAATAGGTGTCTTGTTCATTATCAATCTGTCTTTATCCCAACGAATTGTAGGTACTATATGTACTGCTCCTTTATCATTTCTGTTAGCCGTCATATCAGAATACACCCACTTCTTACGAATATCCTCTTTAACACAATCCATCCATACTTTCTTTGGTCTTCTCCCACCTTGAAATATATAAGGTTGCTTGTTATTAGAGACAATTCATTGTACACCGATGATGTCGAAGCTGGCGGGTTGGTGGCGGCAATCGCTGCGCCAGCGACCACTCATCACGAACACTATAACATATGCCACATTTTACACTGCCGCGGAGCTCTCACAGCAGACGTTCAACAAGATATATTCGGTAAGTAAGCGATTGTAATCAATTCATAGGTATAATGTGTTTCAAATTGATATTTAAACAATGTAAACAAAAGATACAATCATCACTTATAGTACTTTGTAAATAAGAAAGTGCATATTACACGATATTGTGACGTCATAGCTCCAATCACAAAATGTCTCTTTTAGGCATTTATGACAGACTGATGTAAACATTTTTATTTGAAATGCATAGTATAATTATTTACATTAACATTTTTACGAATAAAAAAAAAGAATTTAATAACGTTTTATTAATTAAAAAAGTTGTTGGCAGCGGTGGGATTCGAACCCACGCCTCCGAAGAGACTGGTGCCTTAAACCAGCGCCTTAGACCGCTCGGCCACGCTACCCGTGACTATTATTATTGAAATTTCAGGATACGATCACATTATTTTTATTGTCCATTTTATTTTTTTCAAACAAATTTCAAAAACGATTAATATATCTGAGTTAAAGAATTTATTTATTAATTTTGCCGTTTTTAAAAAAAAAAAAAAACAAAAATCTGAAACTTTACCATTTTGATTCGTCTGATTATTTTTTTTTAGTTGTATTAAATTATATATGTGTTATATTTTCATTAATTTAAATTATTAAAATTTATTTTAGCCAGAAAAACCGCCGCTGGATTTTGCGGCTGCGGCCCGGATTGTGACGGTTGGCAGTTGTGTGTACGCACCAACACTATACTTTTGGTATGTAAATTATTGGTTTTTATAATCTTCTCATATATAAAAATTAATTGTTGTTCGTTAGTCTGGCTAAAACTCGAGAACGGCTGAACGGATTTATCTTATCTTGGTCTTGGTGAGAAAAATTCGAATAATTGCCGGGAACCAATTAAGTTTTTTTTCATTCCACGCGGACGGAGTCGCGGGCGACAGCTAGTTGTATAATAATTAAGGTATTTAAGTAATTTTTATGTTACACTTTATAAAGTAATACTAGTGTTTTACCCTAAACTGCGTTATTCGTAATTAATTCTCAATGCATTGTAGTAGTCAAAAGTCACACACGCTCGTAGAAAAAATCGCAGTTATTGCAAATTGTAAATATCCATTAGCAACAATCTATCGAGTGAAATTTGCTCCCATTTTAGTTTGATTTACGTGCAACAATTGTGTTAATGCTAAACAATAATGATTTACATAAAAAGTGCGCACATGTCGCGCTTCGACGAACGTCCGTCGTCACAATTCATTCGTCCGCGATTTACATCCTGGTAATATGAATACAAGCTACTAGAGATTATAAAACTATATGGAGGCTCGCAATTTTGCATGAGATACGAACAAATAAATTTTAGGTTAGAGTAAGCTCCACAAGTAATCTGACATCTGCACTGTCAAAATCGCGAGTCACCATAAAGTTTGTATACTACAGTACTTTTTCTCGAATTAATATAAGGCGATCCACTGCTTTGTCTTTTTTCTCTTTAAAAAACATTGTCTTTTAAATAGGATTCATCATGCCTCAACATACAAAGATGTCCAACGAAATATACATAAAAATCCATTATTTTTTTAGGTATAAATTCCTGGATAGAAAATTTCCAGGCACAGCAGTGAAGATGGTGGCCACCAAAGTGATGACTGATCAGTTTGTCATGACACCAATACTTCTCGCCGCGTTTTATATATGTAAGGTGTTTTATACAAAGATAAATTTTGTGTTGTCTTAAAAAACGATTCAATATATATAACCTAACTTTAAACCTCGATTCTCGACTTTGATGTCTTCTCGTTAAGGTCTTCCTTTGCATAAAACTATTCCTGAAATAATTATATATAAACCTTATCTTTTATTAGTATCTAAACTAATTAGCAATATCCCTATCAATTGATTCTTTTATTAACCTTTCAGTAATGGGTATTGTCGAAAGAAAAGAGGATATCTTTGAAGAAATAAAGGCGAAGTATTGGAAAACATTCATCGCTAACCAGGCCTTCTGGATACCCGGACAGACGATCAACTTCTTTTTCGTCCCAACACATTTGCGTGTCGTGTATGTAGCCTCAGCGTCTTTTATTTGGATCAATGTTTTGTGCTTCATCAAACGGCAGAAGACCGAGAAGACTGCATGAGTACGTCAAGCAAAAAACTCTATATCAACCATAAGATTATCTGCCATCTCCACAGATTACAATAAATGAACAAATAGAATAGACTCGGATTTGAATTTGGATTTAAGGAAAATTTGTTATTAAAATTGTTTTAATAGTTGTAAGCATTTAATTATTATATAAGTAACAATGTAATGTAAATTTAATTACATTTCAATATAAAATCTGTTTTTTTTTTAATATCTTGAGTGATATCGTTAGGTACAAATTTAGAAGACACATAATTGGTAAAAGACGAGTAACGGCGTTGGTCAAGAATTTTGCAGGTTCTTTTTTTTAAATCCTGTACCTGTTAATCATACAACGCAAACGAAGTCATAGAAAGCTACTAGTAATGTTAACAATGTTACAGTATTATAAGTAGAAAGAAAGTAATAACCTTAAAAGGTATCAAATTAGCGCATTTGTCCAGCTTACTCGTTATGCGACTAAATATATCCTTTGTTTAATTATAGAAGGCCTTTTGAACATCTGGTTAATTAGATTAAAACATAAGAAAAGATTATATAGAAATAAGGTTTCGCGGATATAACTCGGAGCCCTGTGCGTTGTTCCTTCAGTTTGTTCTTAGGTTGTCTGTGAGACAGACAAATATGTTTCCTAATGATAGCAAAGTCTGTTCATGTCACACTTCAGCTAATTTGTTAGAAAATGTGGCTGGTGATTTTCTCCATTCTAACGTTACTTTGGCTAACTCTCGCATTGTAGACAATACGTCAGATTTAGCCCTTATCGTTGGAGTTTTAATTGCGGTGTTGGTGTACATAGCAATAAACGTCGAGGTAAGAATTGTCGTGTGCTTGCAGTTATGTAACCTTGGGTTTCTGGAGACAAAATCCCGTTTGACAAAAACATATTGATATCTCTGTTTTGTCAAGGATAATGACAGAGATGATATGTTTCATACAGAGATTTTGCCCTCAGAAGCCCACGGTAAGTATTGTAGCTTCCTACTGGCTGCTGCATCTGATAATAATTAAAATATCGAGCTCTCTCCCATAAATGAGAAGACTGGTGTCTATCCAAAAATTGTTTAGAATAGACCGACATAAGTATGTTTGAACTATTCAAAAAAGAGTTTACTCATTCCATCCAACCTCAATGGTAAATTTAATTAATATTTCAAATTTATGTTGCAGGGATTACAAATAGAAGCGACATTACAGAAATTCACAAAACATAAAATAATCCAGAGAGCTTTAGTTTTAGCGCTTCTGGTACTAACTTCCCCGATCATAATTTCTTTCACCTTAATATCGTTACTTTACAAAATAACGTGTTATTATATTATAAAAGCGAATGATGTTAACTTTGCTGCATTTCTCGATGGTTTTGATGTTTTCTGGAGTTTAGAAGACGATGACTCTAGATGTGTTATAAACGTGTTAGGAATCATTGAAACCAATACGTCAGATAGTTTAGTCGCAAGAATAAAACAGAAACTTAACATCGTTATTACTAATAAGAGCTGTAACAAGTTATTTTATAGACGAAATGAAAAATACGGATGGTACTATTGGAGAAATTATTCCGAAATTGATTTAAATGAATACGTAAAAGTACTTAATATTGGAAACAAGAAAGGTGCTATTTCAAAAGAAGATATAGAAGACGCGATGACAGAAGTATCTTGCTTGCCGTTACCTTTTAACGATACAGGTTTATTTCAAATCCTTGTAACTGAACAAAGAATAGAAAATAGCAAAGGAGAGAGAAGTAACTATGGTATATTATTTAGAATTCATCATGCCGTTGGTGACGGTGTTGCATTGATTGAGTTTCTTTGCAAAACACTTGCAGACGATGTTAAAAATGATGAAAAATTCTCCATGCCCAGTAACTACATACCTATTGATACATCAACATCTTTATTCGATAAAGTAAGACAGTTGTTCGCAATGCCAATATGTTTCGTTGATGGAATACTAAGAAAACCCGATAAACATTCTCTACATGGTCCTCCTTTGGTTGGAAAAAAGATATTTAAATGGACAGATCCCGATGAAGATTTATTTCAGATGATCAAAGAAATAAAACATTGTAAAAGAGATTTAAATTTCTCTGATATTTTGGCAACATCACTGTCTAGCGGCTTACGAAATTTTTTCTCCAAGGTATCTTACTCATATTATAAATGCGAATGTTTAGATGGATGGATGTTTGTTTGAAGGTATCTCCAAAACGGCTGAACGGATCTTGATAAAATTTGGCATACATATTATTTTTAATTCTCCGCAGAGGGAGTTGAGGGCGACAGCTAATAGTTTCTAATAACACAAATTTAAGCTATCGAAAATAACTTGTTTTTCATTCAACAGACTATGGAATACATGCCTGAAGATGTAGCGGTAATTTTGCCCATCAGATTGCCGGAACATTTTAAACAAAATGAATTGCAGTTTAAAAACAACTTTACAGTAACAATCCTCGATCTACCAACCAAAGAGAAAAGGCAAATTAGAGAAATAAAAAGACGATGCAATATCGTTCGTAAAAGTGTAGATCCCACCGTAAGTAACACGTTTAAAATGACAGGGAGGTCCTTTTATTGTGAAAATTACTGGGAAAGGTGTTATAATAATCATGATTGTTGTTGAATATTAAGTTAAACTCCATAATTGTGAAACTAGCAATATTTTAATCCATTTGAATGAAAGAATCAAACTTTTTCAAATAGTTTTTTTTGTATATTTGTGACTTAAGTTATGCTTTTCAGGTAAACCATTATTTTCTAAAAGTCTGTTACCTTTTACCGAAACAGATTTTACGGCCTATATTCAAAAGTAGCCAAGCCACGTTAGTATTTAGTAACATGCCCGGACCAGACTCTATAAGTATTTGCGGTGGAAACTCAATAAAAAGTTTAATTTTCTTCATACCAAATAAAGGGAGTACTGGTAAGTTCTTAAGGATATCTGCTTTGTTAGTAATTGTGTCAAAACAAACATGAAAAATCAAGGAAAATGTGTTAAAAAAACGAACGTATAATTTATTGCTAATACCACAATTTTTTCATTAATTTTGTTTCTTGTAATAAAAATGTTTATGTCTTGTTACATAGGCCTCGGCATATCAGCTCTTTGCTACGGTGGAGTTCTGCGATTCTCCGCGATGGCTGACGCAAATATAGTGCCGACATCGGAACAACTATCCTTGATACTTAACGGCATGGTGGATGAGATTAAACAAATGCACGAGTTATATGTTAAATAAATAGTATATAATATCAAAAGTATATCTTAAATTGACAAGCTTTAGCTTGTCAATAAAATGTGGGCTAATTAGAATTGTGTGTTTGTATTACGTTAGCTTTTTACTATAAGTTTTGTAATAATAAAGTATGTAAGCTATTAAATAAATTATTTATATGTTTATTTCTTTTTAATTTTCTTTCGAAGTGTTCAGTTTCATATAGTAAAGCCAATGTTACGTTGGCCATTGCATCGTTTATTGAGATTTTGAACCTTACCGTGGTTCCAAGCTACTTATAAAGTAAACACATTTTGAAAAGACTTATGAAGAGAATAAGCTTAAAACAAAGTCTATCTGAAAACTTTTAGCAGTCTGTTATTGAATAATAAAAACTATTGTTTTGGTTAAGGTATGGAGTCTGCCAAATTCTCGACAATAACAGTTAAATATATATTTATAAAACGCACATAGTGGCAATACTGAATGTAACATAACACTTTAAAATAATTAAATAAATCAATATTCTTTTTGTTATAATAAAATTATTTTAATTAAATAAACTTAATAGAATAAATGAAACGTAATAATATTCCTAAATCTTCTTAATATGAATAAGAACTAAATATTCTAAAATCTATGTAAAAAAATCTAATAAGTATCGTTATGTTGTGTGGAAACGCATTCCAAATCTGTTTTCAAACGAAGATTCTCTAAAAACAGAGAATTACAGCGACTAATCTGAAAGAAAGCACTTTATTGTTTAGTATTACAGTTAGTCTTAATATCAGTGTTAGCTGGCGACAGCTAGTTAAATATAAATTCGTACAGAATACCTCTGAAACAAGTAAAGATGTGTCAACATCTTCCGACTCCACAGATTCTTGCGTTTGACTGTTCAGTTCAAATTCAGCGCGTTCCGCTTCAAATGTTATTTCCTGCAGTAAACGCTTCAGAGCTTCTAATCTTTCTTCATACCACTTTTTCTGTTTTGTATTGAAAAATGTACGATTTTGAACGTGTATTACAGTTGGGAAGATTTTAGAATGTACTAAAAACTATTTTTATTTTAAAGTATAGCATAATTTACTATGAAATAACATTACTTACAAATATTCTAAACATAGAAGTCATTCTTTACTTGTTTTGAAGACCCTATATATAAATTATATTGAGCGTTTTAATTGCAGAAGACTACAAAATGGAAATTTAACGGTCATGTCTATGTCGTATATACTTTACAAAGCCGCGATGTGGCTGATCCTTACCGGTATTTAATTAATTACAGTCAGAGTCCTGCATGGAATATGCTTTCGTCCTTAAAGGCCGGAAATAAATTGATGTTGCGGATGTTCATTCAATATTAAGCAATCAGCTTTTGCTCCCTATATAAAAAAAACTAAGTTCCGTCTTACTTGCATCATTTTCTTCCCTCGCAGCATAAGATATTTGTCGCCAACAGAGAGCAGTGCTTGGTGCGCGTGTACAAGTTGCGCGCGCATCCTGTCCGTGCGTCCCTGCAGCCGCGTCACCGCCCTCTCTCGTTCACTCAACGCACTACACCGCTCATCGTACGCTTGAAGTAACGCCTCGTAACGTTTCGATAATTCTTCATATCTTATTAAAACAAGATACTTATCTGACTAACTTATTCATTGAGAATGTATGTACCATTTCCACAAGCGCGGCCACGACTAGTCTTAGAAATAGAAGCACGGCTTGACGTGTAGTGGAAAAATGGTTTAAAAAAACCGAAACTTTATTAGGAGTTTATATTAACTTACTGATATTGAAGGCACACAATGCTCATAGTAGACCAGGATTCCGCCAAGTCAACTTGGTTTCTAGACGATGTGGTTTTGTCTTTATAAAAGAGAACAATAACATGTCAGTCTAAATAAGAAGCATATGTTAATATACCAACTCAAAGAAACTTTATTCTTTCGAGGGTTTTAATCACAGTCTAGAGAAATGAAGTAGTATGAATAGTCAAATCTAAGAGCATAAAGAATCTGTTTGATGTAATTTTTCTTGATCTTTATAAATATGTTACTCACCAGTGTTAGAAATTTTTGTTTCCTTGCCCTCGGACGGTTCACTCTCCCACCAATCGTTATTATGTGTGTGCGAGTGAGACGACTTGCATTTTAACAACTTCTTCTCGTACTTGCCAGTCTTTTGCAGACAACGCTCGAGCCCGTTTAAAATGTTGAGGGCGTTTTGTAAACCGTTCAAGAAATTTTTACGTCGGAAAAATTGAGCCTGATATGGGACATACATGTGAAGATATAAAACCGAGAGGAAACACTAAGGGATACCCTTAGTATGAGATAATTACACTCTAAAGGAATGCTTAATTAACCAAATAAGTTTCTATGTAATAATGCTTTTTATTAATATTTTCAGATAAAAACAATAACTAAGTTACGAATACTTACGGAGTTTTCATTTATTTTGGAATGATGTACAATTTCTGGTATGCAATCATTTGTAACAACATATCGATCCATTTTAATTTATTGATAAAAAAAACTAAATTTTACAATGCTATCACTGCGTCACAATTGGTCAATGTCAATTTTTGACATTACTTTTTTTAATAATGTCAACTGATACAAACCAACCAGTGTTAAATCCCATCTGCAGAGGTTTTGTTTTATTACATTAAAAAAAATAGAATCTCATGACATATATGGACTGTTAAACTTCTTTTCAGTCATATGACGCCCACTACTAGGCATAGGCCTCCACGAAAGATCGCTTTAGTGAAAGGTCCAGTGCTGCCCTCATCTAGAACACTCCCGCGACCTTGACCAGATCATAGGTCAATCTCGGTTGTCGGTTCTTCTGGCAATTCTCTTAGACCGTGTTTTTGAGACCAAAATCCCCATTTAAAACATATTATCTCTGTTTTGTCAAAGATTAAAGACATGGTGGACTATATATTTTATACATTGATTTTGGCATCAGAAACCCATGGTTAAAGAAACAAAGAGTAGCGCAAGTCAACCCAAAGTGTGTCAAAATATAAAAGGAAATAAAACCATCTATAAACATTGTCAGATTGTTTATTCAACTACAACAAAAAGCATATCTTTTAACAACTAAATCAGTCTAAAAATATTCTACCTGCTCCAATTTCACTACATAATTTTATCATCTAAAAGGAATTAAAAACCTATCATACCTTAATTCCCTTATACAAAATACAGCGTGTACAATCGCATTGTAAGCGATATGCAACCTTAAATATTATTTTATACTCTCAAATTTTTAAAGCTGAAAAATATTTGTGATTTCGATTTACTGAAAATAAATCAATTAACAAAACCAATATTCCAAAGATTTAATATTATGGAAGACATTGTTCACAATTCAGGCATTGAAGCTTTCTAAAAACATTTTATTACGACATCCAATTATATTTAAAAAGCTAACATTTAACATTGTAAATATAACAATTGTAAAAATTTGTTATAACAATATGCAATTATCAACATGTTTTTTTTAGGAACGAAAATTTTATATCTGAAAATTAATACATACATATAACATATATAAGGCTTATATTTAATATTGCTTTGTTACGAATTTGCATTTTATTTAACAAGTGAATTACATTTTATTCGACAATCATTTAAAATTCTTAGATACTAGACGTGTGTAACGTTGCCAGGCGTCCGGATAAAGTCAGACATAAGCTTTTTGATTGTGTGTCCGGTCAAGATAAACGGTGTCTGTGTTGTCCGGCTTTTTTATAGTACCTAATAATACTGACACATCATCAATAATGTAATGCCAAACTGGTTGGTCTGTCCGGCTATTAGGTTTGGCGACCTGGCAACCCAAGACGTGTGTAAGACTCGGAACTGACTCAAAATTCAGGTCACTAAGGCTTGAACTGTTGAGTTACAATTTAAAAAACTAAGTAGATATAACAGTATGTTTAAGCGAAGATTTTGGTTTCAGAAACCCATGTTAAATGTTGTAAACAAAGAAAGCATTTAATGTTGATATTTTTAATGTTTTCATAAAGGTATTGATTTTGTAGATCTTTTCTATCATTTGTTCGTGAGCGAAAATCAGATCATTTTTGAATAGAAATCATTAAATTTCTTTTTTTAACAACATTTAAATATTATTCCATTTTTATAGAGTTAACAGTTTTGTAGAGTGGATTTAATGTAATATTGTTTTAAAAAATGTAAAAAAAAAAATTATATGCACATTTAAATTGTTTCCATAACAGAATCATAATAACATAAAATAGATAAAAACAATAAATTTTTGATCACAACAAAGCATAAATAAACATTCAAAATTAACTATTGCATGACATTAAAACATGATAACAACAAACAACACATTTAAGGCCGATATACACGGACTTAAAGCAGTTCGTGTATACCTGCCCTTTTTGGTATATCTGACGTTCGAAATTATTTAATAAATTATACCAATTCTTTGGTAAAAACATATTGGTTACTAACATTGCAATAAAAAAAACTATTTTGTGATAAAATTCTAAGAAATAAAAGAAATATGGGACCGGTTCACAAGATAGACTTCCAATCATGGACTCCAGACCAGGTGTAGGGGATTTTATTAATATGGCCTTATTTATAGCAGTTTAAGTCGTATTTAAATTTTTTGGATTCTTTAAGGGAACGGGGGGTGGGGGGAGAGGAGGAAACAATCATTAAAAATCTATTTGTATTTCAATTTTCCTTGGACTCGGCCCAAGGGCAAATGTATCCCATTCCGGCCGACTTAGTAAATCAAATGAATAAATTATTGCGAGCCAACAAGAAACACTCATATCTCTGAATTACTTTTCTTTTTAAATGTCTAAAATAATAAGCTGCCAGTTCATGAAAGTAATAATTTTTAACAGGCGTCAAAGCATTTTTAAATTATTTTTTAAACGGCCAGTGTTAAATAAAGAATAATCTGAGAGAATATTGGTTAAGAGCAAATATGCAGGACTATAATATTGAGCTTGGATATTACGTCTTACATAAGGTGTATTCTACTGAGATCCACAATCAACTGTAGCTTACTAAATTTAAAAAGCTAAATAAAATGCTAACGTATTGATAACAAATTTCTATTGAAATTACTTTGGTATCTAAAAAATCTCAATAAAAAGTCTAAATACATTTTTGTTTTAAATAAAAACTTACTAATGATGAAAATATTTCACAAAACTATAATCAACAAGTTTATACACAAGTATCATATTCATAGTACAAGAGCAAAGCCAGAGTTGTACTGTTTGTAGTTCGTAAAAAAACACGTCTTCAGGAAAGTTATTTATATTGCTCCCCACAAATACAAAGTATCGTGGAAACCAGCCACTTAATTTGATATTAAAAAGTTCAACAGATATTTTTATACTAGCTCTTAGAGTATAACACTCAACTAATACTAAAATGTCTTTTAAATATGGTCTTTGTAAATATCAAATGCATTTTAAATCTGTTAAACATTAAAATAAGCGATGATATTTGTAATTGCAAAAATGGTATCATAAAAAATATATTTTATTTATATTATATTTATAAAATTTAGTAAACTGCAATTGATTGTGACTTACTGCTATGGTATAATTTCATGTTCCCGTTCTTGGTGTGATAATGAGTGGATCTCAGAGTGAGCTGGTGATGTTCTGGAAGAGTCGCTTGCCCCACCACGTTTCAAGGTCAAAAGGCTTGAAGTCGTGTAGTACTGCACTTGGTGCCTCGTCTTGATAGTAAAGATTCTCTGGGGCTGGTGATGAACTACCCGAACCTATAATAAGAAAAAATCAGAATTTTAACTCATCTTAGGGCTTTTATATTCATCAAATTATTAAAAAGGCTCTGGTGGTTACACAAGTCAATCAAGTAAGTAAACTGGTTCCTTCATATGTACAAAAAGATCAGTTTCAAAATTCCTAAATTGAAGTTATATAATTGATTAATGAATATATATAAAAAATAAACAATGCATTAATTACACAAATATATTTTAAAACTAAAAAAAACTTGAATTATTTTTAAAAAATTTTACAAATTATCAGAAAAACTCTCAAGTATTGACATTGATAAATTTAAATCACAAAATTGAAAAAGGATCTTAAATTTTTCGCCTTTGAAATGAAATGTTTTTAACCTTTATTGTGGCAAGATTTCTTTTTTTGAAGAAAACCTAAAAAACGTCTTGTATGTAATAAAACTAAGTTGAAAATTATTTTATAGTGTTCCTATATTTTTATAAAGTTGTACATATGGCATACAAAATGAACATAAGGGTTAAAGAATTGTGTATAAAAAGTATTTACCTCGGCCCACTGAAAAGGAAGGCAATAAAATTTTAACTGTATTTGGAATTTTAATTCATTGATTACTTAAAACCAGTTTCGCATTGAATTTTTGTTAAGTAATTATGATATATTTGATTAATTTCTTACCTATTGTACTTGTAGGCGTTGATGGTTCACTATCACCATTAGCTGTTTGTGTCCATGCTGAAAAATTAAAATAAAACTTATTTATTTTTTTGGCATATGTATCTGGCATCAATGTATCTGTCCAGTTATTATTTTTCTTTATTATTACAGTGGCAATGGCCATGGCATGGTAGCAATGGGCCACTTGAAGTCACCATAATAGAGGAACCATGGCCAACTATAGACATTGGCAATTGGAGATGCGTGCATCGTCTCCCTAGCCTTATGTCACTCATGTTGAGGTTTGTGCTCAAGGTTTTAAGGCTTAAGGTGACAGAGGAGGGAAGGCATAGATAGAGGATATTCCTCCATTATGTTCTAAAAGTTATGTCATGAGTGATTTAAAAAGTAGTAAAAATAAATAGATACAGCAGATAAATGTGTTTTTTTAATGCAAATATTAGTTCTTGAGATTCAAGTACACTAACAATCTAGCTTGTTAAGTTACATAAAGTTTTAATTTAGAAATTTTTTGTTGTACAAAATTAATGATACTTCTATTTATCACGAATAATTTCTGTATAATTTTTTCATGTAGATAGTTTGTATGTAAGAAAATTAAAATAAGATAAATAATGTAATTTACATACTACATTTTATTTCATGCTTGGCAACAAGGAAGAAAAAAGTTGATTTAAAAAAAAATACAAATCAAAGTGTATTTCCATCTCTTTTTTAGTCTATTGTAAGTTATGAAAAAAACGTTAAGAAAGGACTCTACTGCCAAAGCACCTTTACAAAAACATATTATTATAACAAAGTGATTGAGCAGCGGAAGCCCACAGTTGTAATGTATACAGTCGAACCAGGATAAGCATGAGTATAAGGGACACAATAATATCCTTGCTCATAGAGATATCTCTCTAATGTCTCACTTATAGAGGTATCTGTCAGGACTGGATAATAACTCTCGCTTGGTTTGTCGCAGAGGTTTGAGTGTTCACAAAAAGTCTCAGCAAAATAAGACATGGTTATGAGTGAAAATTAAATGAATAATAAATTCTCGACTCTTTGAAAATTACTCATGAAAGTGACTTTGCCTGACTACATATATGTAAATTCAAAATAATATAACTTACTTTCACTGATATATCTAATTATTTCTTCATGCTGCGGAGTTATAACATGATGCTGTATTCTCTGATGTACTGTCTTTTTACCATTGGAATGGAATACTGGTTTGGGCATGCTGTAAAAAAAATATAATAACTAACTACAGCAATTACTCATAAAAACAATATTATACTTTTGAAATATTTCATAGAATAATATATGCAAGTTTTATACCGCGAGGATCTAATAAGGTACGATCTCAAGGAGGTTATGTAAAGGCTGTGATGAAATCTTATATCTGAATATATTGCATCATACACAAAAAATAATACGTACTTAATAATATCTCCATTGTCTGATTCTGAAGACCTTCTGTTGTGGTCTTTGCGGCTGTCTAGTCTTTCTAAATTTTGTGATAGACCTGTGAACCAAGATTTAGTAAATTAGCTAATTGGTTATGATTAGCCGATACTTACAAATACCATTTTGAAAATTCTGTCTATACTATTACCTCTTCTTGTTTTTGCTACAATCTTGCTAGGTCCTTTCGAGACAGTATACATTTTAGAATTTTACACAAAAAAATAAAGTATTGCACTTAGACCGTACTTGTATCTAAATGTCAGTGTTGCCAATTGCGGTTGACATGACTTATATTATCATCGACTGACAGTGACATATTGACATATGCTGGAGTTGTCATTGAAATTCAACAGAGGTATCGAAATCGATTTCTCGAACCGACATCGAATTTGGTTAGAAAAAAAAATGTTTTCGCCCTCCCTAGACAATTGAAAAATGTAAAATAAATATAAATATAATATAATAAAACTACTTCGAATAAGACCATATTAACGTTAACTGCCCCCGCCCCCCTAGACCTAGCGAAAATCATAGGTGGCGATGCACGTATCCATTACAATACACTTACAATTTATAATAGATCGCTATCTTTTACTCATCCTAGTAAACTCATTATGTAACAATAGTCAATAGTAGTATTATACATGCTTATTCGAAATTATGAAACAATGAGAATTTAATTTTGTTTACATTTTTTCTACTACTTCACAATGACAACCCCACATATCGATGTTTACGGAAACTAATTAAAAAAAGAAAAACCATTTTTATGAAACTTATTTTTAAATAAATAAATTTTAATTTAGCTCAATGATATAACATTTTTATGGAAAGTAATATAAAGGATATTTTTATTTATAACTAGCGGTTGACCCAGACGTCGTCAGCATGGAATTAAAAGAATTACCGTATACAAACGTAGTTTTGCGAACTCGACTTTGAAAAACGCCACAAATATACATAAATATCGAAGACACTATTATTTTATTAATAGCGTAGTATTGTGTCAATCGTGTAAAGAACCTTTACAATATTGACATTTTTTATTATTCTTTGTTACTTATAATTTTATGCACGCTGTTGCTTATAACTGATAAATAATAACCACTTTATTGCGTTTTTGCCACATGTGTGATAAGTAAACATAGAATTGATATTAATACCGCGATAAAAACAAAAGAAGAATGTAAAATTATGACTAAATTGCAAATATTTTTGTACAAAAACAAGTAAATATAATTACAACAATGATTGGAATTTTTGCTGTTGGTGATAAGTGTGATGTTATTTCCCGCCGTCACAAACATATGCTAAGATCCGACCGATCCGACTCCATAGAAGCTGTTTTTTTCACTGATACGGACACGATTGCTACAAAATAACAGCCGAGCGCCTTAAAATCGTGCAACTAGCAGAAAATATAGTATACTAGCTGTTGTCCGAGACTCCGTCCGCCTTTATGTTCTTCCAGACTATGTCCTATATATATATATAATTTCATGGAGATCTGTTCAGCTGTTTAGGAGATACCTTCAAACAAACATCCGTCCATCCATCTAAACATTCGCATTTATAATTTTAGAACGTAAGATAGACAACTGTAGTATTCTTAATATGAATGTTTATTGTTAGCATCATAAGTTTTTAAAATAAAAAGCTGAGTACTAAAATATTTGCTGACATTGGCAATTTAAAATACATTGTAATAAAGCGATGTAAGTTAACACCATTTGGACTTTGAACAGATTATTCTCATATGTATGTACAATCTAAGTTTTCTTTTGCACTTTTTTTTGTGCATATTTGTAGACAATGATTTAAGATGTGTGGCTGAATTTTATTTATACTACGGGGAAAAATATTCGGTTAAACCGGAACTCAAAATGATAGGTCGTTCATAAATACACATTTGCGAAAAACCTTAACTACCTGGGACAGAAAAACAGAACTGGTACATCTTTAAATGATAGTAATCTATTCTCGATATAGTTATGCTTGGTGTCTTTTCGTACCTAAAATTAACTCGTTCGTTACAACTAAGATTTCTTGACGATTCTTTACCTATTCACTAGCTGTCGCCCGCGACTCCTTCAGCGCGGTATTAAAAAATAGTTGCCGATTCTCAGACCTATTGAATATGCTTATAAAATTTAAAAAAATCGGTCAAATAGTTCCGGATGAGTGTGGATAACATTGTGACACGACAATTTTTTTATATAAGATTTCAATTTAACAAACGTGATATGTATCGAGTTTTACCATAAAGGTAAATCTATTTTCTATGGTAGTGCGTAGGCGCAGTACTTTGATACGAACAATGGTGTTCGGCGCGGCTCCCACGACGAATGAAGTTAACGGTATCACCGTACCTCTGCCATGAGGCCCGATTGGGCACAGATTAAGTAACAATGAATAATTTATTACCTATATTTATTATTTATTCTGTGTTGCTCTATGATACCATGGTATCATATCTTCGAGCTCTCTCTAATTTTATACTTAAACTTGCCGCGACTCCGTCTACGCCTGATTAAAAAACAAATTAATAGTCTATGTGTTCTTCTAGACTATGTTCTACATCTATGCCAAATTTTACTGAAATCGAATAGATTTGTTGTTCTGGATATTTCCTCAAACAAACATCCATCCATCTACATATCCAAGTTTTCTAATTTATAATATTAGTAAGATTTTTTATTTTATAAATGAAAATTACCTCAAGAAGATGAAGCAAAAATATAATGCTAGCATGTGATAATTTTGAAAAAAAAAATAAAACGAATTAATAACGAATAATGAATCAGGATAATAGTGAGCCTTTTAAAACCGAACAAACCATTGAACAGGTATTTACGTTATTAACATACATTCGCGCAAAAGGTCGCGCAAAGGTTAACTCCTGGCACTAACTTCAGAAGTATAATATTTGAAGGCGATAAGCTCATTTCGTAAAATATCGAAGAGTTATTAATTTAATTATATGCTATTATTGGGTTTAGAAAAACTTATGGTAACTAGATAATTACGTCTTTAGTTTACCAAGCATCGTTAAATTTTTGAAAAGAGCAGTAGATTTCTGATTTACTTATTCTACAATGATTTCTTAGCGTCGCAATGCGTTCCTTTAGTCCAAATAAACTGTCTTAAATTGTTAAGTTATATCTTAGTAATTAGTATAATTGGCTTGCGAGACCTTGTTTTTTTAAATATTAATGTACGTTTCCAAGGTTGTCTACGACAAAGGAAATTATTATTTTACATGTTCTTATATTTCTGTTAAAACGATACGAAGAAATAAAGTACCTTAATTATTGATATAATGGAATATTTATGTTTTTTGATAGTTTTTATCTTTTGACAATACGTATAATTAATGCAAATTCTGCGTAGTATTCGTACGTTATAAATACGATATGATATGTCATTGTATTTTTAAAACATTGTATGTCGCGTAATGAAAGTGTGGGTGAAGTGGTGTCCCATTTGTGAAATCTGTTTTGAACATTTTGGCTACGGCACTATTGACGTCACGGGTACGGAAAACTAAGGGCTATTCGTGTATTCATCTATTAATAATCAAGCTATAAATCTTATAAACGCATAGGTAAATTTATTTTTAAATATTCTTACTCTTACTAATATTATCAATGCAAAAGTTTGGATGGTTTGTTTGAAATTTGGCACACATTTAGAACAAAGTCTGGAAGAACATACAGGTATTATGTTGTTTTTAATACAGGACGGAGTCGCGGGCGACAGCTAGTTTCGGAATAACTTTTAATTATTAACTTGAATATCTCTAAGATTATTGAATGTAAAATTTTGTATAAGATTTAGTATGTTAAATAGAGTCAATTAGCTCAATGTACCAGACGTGTCTTGAATTGACCTTAAGATCAATGATTGTTCTCGCTCTAGTTGAATTAAATCTTGTATTGGCTGGTCGTAATACAATTTAAAAATCTAATATGATCCTCGCCTTCAAGGATTTTAGGAGAAAGGATGAATTATTCGTTAATAATAAATCCTTCCATATTAAGAAATAAGATACAAAACAATTTACATTGCTTTTTTCGTTAGTTGTATATGTCGTTAGTGTATTGACTAGCCAGCAATGTTGATTAATTTTGCGAAGAATTCGAATTAAAAACTAGTTGCACGGTAAAAACGCGGATCTCCCGCCAAATCTCGTGCAACGAGGAGCGCGCGTCGCGTCGGCCAATCAGAGTGGTTCGCGCTACAGACTCGCGCGCGCGCATTTATTGAAACGTTAAAAATGTTTTCTAACCGTTGGCATTTACTAAACAATAACAAAATTACTTGATACGATCCGACAATCGACATTTAATTCAAATCATTCTCGACCGTCGCGTTGTGAACAACACTCGCGTTGCAAAAGAAATAAAAGAAAATAAAAATTAAATAAAAGTGCAAAAACCAGAGTCCGGTTTCGTTCCCTAGCCTGTTGACTTCGATGGGGTTAAATAAAAACAAAACCGTGTTCCTGGGATGATTCTGTTGTGAGGTTGAATTGTAACTTTTGTTGTTGGTGAATAAATAAGTTATTTTTTAAATAAAATAGATTAAATAGAGAAAGTGTAATAATAAAAATATTGTGTAGTGAAAAAATAGCGTTCCCAAGTTCCAATACATCACTTTTACGTTTGAAAAGTAAGTTTTTATTTATTTTCTCTTTGTTTTCCGATTACAGATACATGTAAATTGTATTAAGATAAGTAACTACATTGTGAGTATTTTTATCTATTTTTTTATTACTTTGATATCGTATTTTAGAGATTTTGTTATCCGATAACTACATATATCTCTTTAAATACTCTTACATTCTAGATATTTATAATTTAGACGCCTTTGTGTCATCAAAGTAAATAAATTAGGAATTATTAGTATTGGTCGTAAATATCAAAATAAAAATTTTGTGCGGAAAATCCACTGGTATTTACGCAGCAATATACCTTCTTAATATAAGCTACTATTAGAAAATGTAGAAACATATTTTTAAGGACACTAACAGACTAGCTCAAGTCGATACAAGTTTATATTCGAATTGGTAATGTTCTTGCAATTCATGTGTTTGATTTTACCTGTTTTCATTACGTCTAATAATAAGGATTGTCAAACTTTCTTAATAATTTAATAATAGAAATATTAATAATAACATCAAAACGAAGTAGTTCAAAAATAACTAAAACTCAAATCGAAGGAATTACCGTAGGTGAGACTTTACTGTATAAAATATATCGCCATCCCTGTCATTATCTTTCACAAAACAGAGATAACAATATGATTTAACGGAGATTTCTATCTCAGAAACCCACTGACAACCGTAAATGTAGCTTAAGCTTTTGATTGCTTTCTATATTTTACCTTTCTTTTACCTCGATGGAGAGAAAAGATAAAATTATCTGTGGTATCATGTTGTCACAGATATTAAAAAGCATTTAGTAAACAATAATTCTGCCAGACAGGTTGGTTGCGATTCTCAACAAGTATTTAATGTATGCAGTAGAAAGTGTACGCATAATGAATTAACGCACTTTCTTCTTAACGAAAGTTTTTCGCAAGCCGGTTTTGTTTCGTGAATGTAGGTTATATAAAAATAATTATGTTTCTTGAATTATAAATTGTTTAAAGATGTCCTTTAACTGACTAAATTATATGTTTGACTATGTTGTAAACATAGTATAAAATAGATTTTATCAGTATGTGAAATAATCAAGAAGTGAAGGAAGGAAAGAAGGAATGACGAAAATGAGATTGATTTGGCATAAAAAACTGCTTGGATATGATATTTGTTTTGTCACTAATTATTTATTTAGGGCCTTCGCACACAAGGCAACGTAAAACGTCGAAACTAACGTTGTATGGTCGCGTCACGCGAATCGTCTATACGGTCAGTGAAGGCTTAGTGACTACATATCAACTGAATAGATTTGTTTCTTCTCACAACGATCTTGATAATCAAGATGCAAGCAACTGTATTTGTCAATGACAGATAGAAATGTCGCGTACGATCATCTTTAACATTGTATTTTGTAAGTTGCCTAACGACTAAAATAGCCAGTTTTCGAAAATTTTTGTTGCCTTGTGTACGATGGGTTTTATTATTTTTAATTGGTGACATTTAAATGTGTGTTTTTTATTATGTTTGCCAGACACGCACGGAAGTTGTTGGCGTGTTGGTTCCGATAGTACAATCGTGATAGTGGCGCGTGCCGGCCCGTTACTCGCGCGTCATTATAATATGTGTGCAACGCGTTTGCAGAATCGTTTCTAAGTGTTACAATTTATCATAAAGATAAACTTTAATTGTTGTTAACATAAAGTTCAAGTTTTTATAATGATTAACACTATTAAAATGATTGAAGTGTGTAAGAATATGAAAATATTTGATTATAATTTGGAATTATTTTTCAGTTTTGTTTAAATCGGAACGACTTTTTTAATCTGTTTATTAAGATCAAACTATCGAACCAGATGAAAACTTTGGTTGTGGGAAGTTCATTAAAAGTCTATTTTTCAATGTTTCTGTGATGTTGCGGTTATTTCCTCGTACTCACCGATCTATGTTTTTTTTTACTCTAGCATATAAAACGTATTTATGTTAACGATAAGAATTTTGCACTATTAAAAAAACTTTACCTTAAAGACCGGTTTTTGTTTTATGTTGAATAATTCGAGTTTTGAATAATCGGAATACCGATACCGTCATAATGCATATATGTATGCCAAAATTCATCATGATACATTAAGCCGTTCTGGAGTTACCTTCAAATAAATATACATCCATCCAAACATTCTCATCTATATATATAAAAGAAAGTCGTGTTAGTTACACTATTTATAACTCAAGAACGACTTTACCGATATGCCTGAAAATTGGTGAGGAGGTAGCTTAGAGCCAGGAGACGGACATAGGATACTATTTATTTATTTATTTGTCCGAATTTATGCCTTGAAGAGCTGCTTTTTAGTTAACTTATCTATATCTTAAATTTTTTATATACCCACGAGGATGGAGTCGCGGGCGACAACTAGTTTATAATATCAGTAAGATTATTTATCGAACCACAGAGCGACCGCGTAAATCAATGCCGTATGGACATCAAATTATATTACATTTACATTTGCAACAACCGGATATCATCACTTGCAGTAAATATGAGCGAATACTTAGCAACCAACGATACTCAAGAGCATTATTGCATTGCTTTAACGCATTCAGATCGTGGTTATAAAGAATATAATAATAATAAAATTGTATGTTTGTCATTCTTAGTGATTTTTTGGTACAACAAATATTACGGACTCACGTTCTTCAAAAAGAAGGAGATTATTAATCCGTCCCTATTTTTTTTATTATGTCATATGGAAGCAATCACTTGAATTCGGCAGAAGATCGAACTGACCATTGGCTATAGAAAGAACGGAAAGATAGAGGATATTTCTCACTCTTATCTGTCCAAGGGTTTTTGATATTAATATCGGGTAGATGGAAAATACATCTGCAATGGTTCACAACTCTACACTTTATTTTCTTTTTCTAGAAATTTTATATAAAGAAATCGAAAAGATGTAATAAGATTCAATTGGATACGATCGAATTGTTTTGCTAGTTTTGTACTACTACCAGACCTTAAATGATTTTTATTTATAAATTAATATGTAATTAGTGATTTTTATTATATTGCAGATAAAGATGGGGTGGCACTGGGTACTGTTAGCTTCAGTACTTGTTCATTCGGCGCGAAGCGACGTACACGGATTGGAAACTAATCCTGACACATATAAGTAAGTTATATATTATAACGTGTCTTATTAGTTCATTATATCTTTTTTATATTTTTTTTCAATCACAAAATAAAATTAACTAATGACAAATTTGTCATCACCTCTCTGGCCTTAGCCCACTCAAATCGCGTGGTCGTACAAGGTTTTATGAACCTTAACGTTTTGGCTTAATTTATATGACCGGCCGCTTGGTTATCGCCAACCCTATTTGGGAGGAATATTTAAAAAATAAATATATAATTATAAACTATTTATTTATAGTTAAATGCTTAAGTAAAGTAAACTTTTGTTTTCATCTTATTCTTTATTTTTTTAAGATTTTTTATTTAATACCTTTTGCATTAATGAAATTTTATAATTCTCTACGTAAATTACAACTGACATATTGTATTTGTACATATTTACGGAACACTAAAGCTAATAGCTAGCATTAAAGTTAATATAATAATATTTTCAATTTTATATCTTGACAACGTAATGGATACTAAAAAGTTATTAACACTAATAATAAGATGATACAGCATCAATATACTTCGTTGAGTTAAGGAGTCTCTAATTCGAAATTGCTTTGAATAGAATGATGTAGTTAGTATGTAGTCTATGATGATATATACATAATTAATTGGAATTTAAATTTTATAAACTTTGGTTACTGTTTTGGCTTTTAGTTGTATTATGAAACCCAATAAATAGTTAAGACTTAACCTATAGAATGAATTGATAAAGGCTTGTTGGCTATATCTTTGTAATCAAAGCCATCTGACTAGCAAAGGCTGGGAATTCGCCATGTTTATACCGTATCTACCGTGGACTATGTTTAAATCTTTTAAGTCAACTTCATAAAGACGTATTTTTAAACAGTTAGTTAGTTTAATAGGTATAAGATCGAAGAGAATATGGATGTATTGTATTAAAGAGCATATAAGAAGAGACTGAATTAGAGCAGATGGACAAAGTACATGACATGACCAATTTTGTTGCAGACCATCATGGGTATACAAATGCGATCCGGAGTACGGCTGCGAGAGGTCAGATCAACCATCGCAAGGTCACGTGAACGCCACCAATGTCTTCAAGAGTTTGGACCTCTGCCGGACAGTGTGCGGTCGCTTTGGAGGCATGTGGCCCAGACCTGTAACTGCGTCCCTGAGTCAAAACATTATCAAAATACATCCAAATTCTATAAGGTATGTTTTAATTAATTTAAATTCATATAAAAATACTCTTCAATGTTCTTTGAGATAAACTAAGATACATCGAAATTCTGTAACTTAATTATTATGATATACAATTTGTTTTGTTTGGATGACCTTGACAATTTTTCATGCATATGATAGGTCGAAAATGAAGAGGTTTTTTGTGATAGCAACATCAAATTGAAAGCCATTAAAACGGACATTAAATTTGACTACAGCGTCTCTTGTATCGACACATATTGTTTTCTTACTAATAATCTGGCAAATGTTTGGATGGATGGATGGATGTTTGTTTGAAGGTATCTCTAGAACGGCTCTCGATAAAATTTGGCATACCTATAAAACATAGTCTGGAAGAACACTTAAGCTTCTAATTACGTTTTTTGTTAATTTCACGCGGACAGAGTCGCAGGCGACAGATATTCCTTTAATATTCTCTTTAAAAAACACAGACATGTTGAAACTCACAGTAAAACAGATACACGCGATAATATGGAACCGGTAATGCATTATCAAACACGTTTTGTGCTGCAAATCGTTTTTTCCTTCGTTAAGTTGTAATTAGCAAACTAGTTGTTGTTGGCTGAACGTTTGCGAGGTAACTAGGACATAACAAATTGATAACATCACAAGATTAATAGGTACTTTGCGAGAAATTCCCTTGAATGTAGAAATAAAGTATGAATAATATAAACGTGGTAGCCAAGTAGATAAATACATAGACGTTATCATTTTCTATCAGAAACTCTTTTGGTTGACTTCAAATACATTTTTATTTGATGATATGTTGATTTTAAGAGTGGTAGAACCCGCTTTAACATCTTCGCACGAATTGGCCAGGTTCGTCCGGTGAAATACCACCACCACACAGAAAACAGGCGTGAAGTGGAAGCAATTCCGCGTTTCGTCTGATGAGTGTGCGTCCCGGAGGCCTAATTTAGTCCTCTTTCCCTTCCCACCCTTTTCATATAAGGAAAGGATGGGAAGTATAAGTGGACTTTCCGGATGAGAGGATGCATGGAAAGGGAAAATATTTTCTCTCTGTGCATCCTCTCCTCCGTCGATTTAAGGTAGGCAACGCATATGCAATTGCGTATGTCTATGGGCAACGATCACTTCGCTACTTCAGCGATTTCGAGTGGCCGCTCGCTCGTTTGCCGCCTTATCATACAAAAAAAAAACACGACTGACATTTCCCAGTGTCACAAAGAAGTTACACATTTATATTGAATATCATTTCACTTACGATAACATAATAATATTTCCTTTGCAATACTTAGTAATAAATTTGAACCTATAATAGACTAGCTTAAAAAAAAAACTTAATAAGTAGCTTGTTCTTCTAGATTATGTCCTACAACTCTGCCGAATTTCGTCAAGATCCGTGGGGCCGTTATGGAGATATCTTCTAACAAACATCTTCTAATAAACTTTAGCATTTATAATATTGGTAAGATTTACGAGGTACTTACGGCGGTAACATATCAAGCTAGTTCTATTATCACCGTTAAATAATAAATATTAAATGGTGTGTTATATTACTTAGTAACACGAGATCAAATGTTATTTACACTATTTTCTTTTTTCTTGGATTGACTGGGTCACTAACGCTGACCTACAAAGATAAACTTATCGTAAATGGAAATTTCACATAGTAAAACGACTAGTGATTTTTCACAAACTATTTTGTTATGTTTCTTACCTAAAAATGTGTATAAGGTTCATCAAATATCTATTAATAACATTTAAAAAAATTACTATTTTACTTCTTACTAATATTATAAATGCGAATGGATATTTGTTAGAAGGTATCTCCGGAACGGCACAACGGATTTTGATGAAATTTATCATAGATGTAGAACATGTTCTGAAAGAACGCATAGGCTACTTATTAAGTTTTTTTATTTTTTATTTTAAAGCTAGTTTTATATAATTTTAAATCGCGATCTATCATTACAGATATATTATTTTACTACGACTACACCTCCGTCATCGCGGTATTAATGACTTATGCGTTCTTCCAGACTATATTGTACATGTATGCCAAATTTCACCGAGATCCGGTCAGCTGTTCTGGAGATACCTTCAAACATACATCCATCCAAACATTCGCATTTATAATATTAGTATGATTACTTCATTGGCATTTGATTTGATATATATTGACTTACATTCAAAGAGCATTTGTAAGCATAGAAACATTACTCTATCGGATAAAGCCAAACATCTGAGAATGACGTGGGCTCTTACGCAATATTATGACGGTCGAACTGTGCGTTCTAACAATATACGCATAATACGTGCCCAATATGTTGCGAGATACAAACGCGTTTAGGGTTACCATGTATTTATTTCCCTTATCGTTGCTTTCTGAGCAAAACCCCTGTATAACACATATTGTTATCTCTCTTTTGTCAAAGATAACGAGAGGGATGGCGATATGTTTTATACACGGATGTTGGTTTCAGAAACCAACGTGTATAAGGCTAACGATATAGCTAAAGTTCATATTACATGCTACAGGATTATACTGAAGGTCATTATAGAAAGGAGATAGTCGCAAAAAATATTGATTTATTCCGTTGACCAAAATTAGGTAACTCGGGATTTATAAAATGTTCAATCTAAAGTAATTAAGAAAAGTAAAGCAAATCTTACATATATTATAAATGCGAATGTTTAGATAGATGGATTGATTGACATATATCTCCAAAACCGCTAAACAGATCTTGCTGTAATTTGGCATACATGTAGAGCAAAGTCTGGAAGGATACAAGAGTTACTTTTTTTTGTATAATTTCGCTCAGACGGAGTAGTGAAGGACCGCTAGTAATACGTTATGTTAAGTGTCAGATTGCGTTTACATTACCGAGCAATATGAGATTTATTCTTCGTAAAATCTTGTGTGATGAATTTATAACATTGTAAGCCATAATAGACTTATACTATTTTGTTGTTATTAAAGAAATAGTATACAATAAAAAGTGATTTTCTTGAATACTTATCTGAATCTGCAGTTTGGTTAACTTTTAATTATTCTATCTTCTATTGAAAAACTTACAGATGTTTCAAGACTAGATGATGATTTTTTTTTTAATGTTATCAAAACCATGTCATAAATATTATTTGCTATAATAAATGTTTGCATGATGTAGATGACAAAAGATACAACTGAACAAATGAACATCAATTGTTACTTCCTCCGAACAGCTTAGTTTTATACGTTGTTCATGCAAATATAAAAAAAATCTGAAATCTAAAATGATGGCAACCCTAGTACTTTAAAAAGATAAGTGTGGAGAGCGCTGCAGGTGTCTAATAAGCGTCTGTCTATTCTCGGCCTCCTGTGACATCGGCGCGGCGTTACGTCGCGTGACACTTCGCAGAACATCGAATGTGACGTTACTCCTAGCCATTTCCCAATCTATATCTATAACATAATAGAGCTAAAGATCGCGATAATCTCAGGAACTAACTAAAAATATCTATGTTTGCTAGCGAATGAGGAAGATTACAGACTGTTTGACAATATATTGTAATTTATATTAAGCTAGCTGTCGCATGCGACACCGTCCGCGTACGATTAAATAATGACTTAGTATGTGTTCTTCCAGAATATGGTCTACATGTATGCCATATTTTATCGAGATCCGTCAAGCCTTTTTGAAGATATCCTGCAACAAACATCCATTTAAACATTCGCATTTATAATATAACAATAGTTAGAAGAACAAAATAGTATAAAAAATAAGTAGAATTAAATCAGGTTATTAAATTTTATTCTAAAACTTAACTTGTTTTAGACAAAAACTTAGTAGGAATTTTGTTACAATTAATGATTGAAGAATCGTATACTATTAAACTATTTTCTTGTTATTCTTCCGCAAACTGGATGCCATAAGCGATGTTACTTCCGCATAACGTAGAAAACGTGTACAAACGTTTTCAAAGAATTCTTTCCCCCTATAACTCGGTCGTTGACGTTTCCAAGTTACTCTCGATTTCTTTCTTTTTGTGTAAAGGGATTCGCGTTTTATCTTAGTGTTGAATGCATTGGAGTTATATTTAGTTTGTGTATGATGATTTTCTTTTGTTCATATTGCATTTTTATTTGTCAAGATGGTTGAGATGTTTCTATAGAACTAAACCAGTATATTTTGTTTCCCAAGAAGAGTGAAAAAAGTCATTTCACGTTTTGTCTGCTTTTGTTGATGCGCTCCCAATCTTATTATCATTGCTGGCACTTATTGGCAAGAAGGAATCGAAATCATTGCAGATAAGTGAAGAATCACTTTAAGAACAGAATTTTTATTTTATCTTACTAATATTATAAATGCGAATGTTTAGATGGATAGATGGATGTTTGTTTGAAGGTATCTTCAGAATGGCTGAACGGATCTTGATGGAATTTTTGCATAAATATAGATCATAGCAGGGAAGAACACACAGACTACTTATTAAGTTTTTTTAAATTCTGCCCAGACGGAGTCGAGGGCGAAATAAAAAAAAATAATATTAAGGTTTTTATTAACTCCTTCGCCTTAAGAAGCTGCCACTAGATCTCTATAATAAACACTTGGAGCGTATGAAATATAATCCGTACAATATAATCAATCATGTCTTATCTACTGCAAACTATGACTATGAATCATAGCACCAAAAATGGCACATACATGTTGCTATGAGACGATAGCGTACAGTCAGCGTCATAAATACCGTAACAGACAAGATATGCAAATATATAGGTACACCAAAAGTAATCAATTATATCGGTACAACAAAAGTCCTCAAATTAATAGATACATTCACCCTGCTCAAATACATCGGTACATACACAGCGTCAAATATATGAGTATGTACGTTGGTGTTTAGTGACTTTGGACAGTCATCGGTCATCCACCTTTCTCATATAACAATATTTATTTAGTGTTCGTGTAAATTTGTCATGTATTGGTATAAAGGTAATTGACCTATCACGATTCGTAGTGCATTGTCTTGGGAATCTTCGATATGTCGCGATTGCCAACTTTGGTTATGGTCCGTCTTATCCCACCTACGCCTTCTTTTGTTTGAACCATGTGGGTGGTTAATAGTGGTTATTCATTATGCTATATTTTTATTTTTAAGTAACTGAAAAAAAATGTAACCCATTACAGGTAGAAGGCAATTATAAAACCATAGCCTGTAATATAACAGAGGTAATCTTATATGTAAAATTCTCGTGTCCCAATTTTCGTTCCTATACTCCTCCGAAACGGCTTGACCGATTCTCATGAAATTTTGTGAGCATATTCTGTATGTCTGCTACTATCAATTTTATAATCCCGCGCGGATGAAGTCGAGGGCGACACCTAGTAATCTATATTTATAAAAGAAAGTCGTGTTAGCTACACTATAACTCAAGAACGGCGTTACCGATATGGCTGAAAATTGGTAAGGAGGTAACTTAGAGCCAGGAGACGGACATAACATACTATTTTTTTTTTATATATCCACGCGGATGGAGTAGCGGGTGATAGCTAGTTTTATCTAAAACTCAACAACCAAATTTGAAGAAATACATCAATATCAATTTACTTTTCACACATATTTAGACCTTTATAATAGTCCTTTTTTTACCTCATTAGTCGAGTCATGGTAGGGTTGACGGGCAAACTTTGAATCGACAATTTGATCGAAACAGTACAAAACTAGAGCATCAGGGGCTCAGGGGTCAAGCACTTTACTTGCAATCTGCAGGTCCAGGGTTCGAATCCCGCCATGTACCAATGTGTTTTTCGATTTCCGATTTACATATGTACATTTATCCGACGTTCTTACGATAAAGGCAAACATCGTGATGCAACCTGCACATATCTGAGAAGAACTTCAAAGATATGTGTGAAGTAAACCAATCCGCACTTTGCCAGCGTGGTTGACTATGGATTAATCACCCTTAACTTAGGTTAGGCTCCGAGTCCCTCGGTGGGGACATATAGTGAGCTGATGATGATGATGAGTACAAAACTTACTTTCATTAATTAAGAAATAAATGTTTTATGAATAAGTTAATTAGCTTTTATTACTGGATAAATATAAAATCATGAATTTACTAAACAAAATTATACTACGCAGTAGAAACATCTAGACGTCTAATGCGATACTGCAAACAATTCTTACAACTACATTGTACAATTTTTATTAAGGTCGTAATTAAAACTATTGTATGAGATATCGCAACATCATGAATGAGATGCTAATGAAAATTAATATTTAATGCTACATTTATTCTTATTTTAACCCTTAGTGTCCGTTTACATAGACCACGGCAAAAAAAAATTGAGCACGGATTAAAAGGATTCCCTTTATCTGGATTCGATAAAGGCGGTGCGGATGACGCGCTATGTAAAATCATGGAAAGCCAACTAAAATCCGTTGCAGGTCGTGCGTACGGCGCGTTAGGCGCGGGTTTACGGACGCGTATCTCTAAGCAGTTAAAACATGGTTTAATTTTTCTTTTTAAGGTTTTTTTGTGAATGCTCTTGATAAAAAAGACGTGCAAAAAACTTTTATATGGTTTCAATCGCATACAGTTTAATTTTATTTGCGATTAAAATCTATGCTCTCCGTCCTGGTTTAATGGACCCTTAGCTGTCACGTAACTTTACAGCGTTGCTATTGTTTTAGCGTAGAGCTAAAGGATTATCGTGTTTATTTCTTAACTTGTTAATGAACTGTTAATAATATACAGAAGAAGAATAATAATAATACAGAACCTTTACAAATAAAAATAAGTTTTTCTCTCTCTGTCTCTAGTGTAGAAATAAAAAATAAGGAAATATAAACAGAAAATAAATTTTGTTAAAAAGAAAATACTCTTAGTTCCACATTCGTACGCCGCATTAATTATATATTGCAGTTGCATTTTTAATTACATTAAGTAGCAGTAAATGTTGCAAGATAAATCTTACATTAAATTAATCTGCAATACGCAGAGTGGTTACATTTTATTTTTAAGAATTTAGATGAGCTACTTTTAAAACATGATAATGAGCAAGCTGGCATATAAATTCGGTAAAATAGCGAAGCCACCGCTGCCCTATAGTCTAATCAACGGGATGGGGATGCACAGAAAGAGGATATGTCTCCTTCCTATGCGTCCCCTCCTTCGCAAGATCCTCTTTCCCTTACCATTACCATTACCATTACCATTTTCCTTATTAAAAACTGGGTTGGAAGAGAACGTGGACTTTGCTTTGCTTTGACTTTGATAAGATGATCTGCTCGGCGATAGAAATCGCACTTACAACTAAAGGTCCGGTAAATTCGAGTAATCCCATATCCTTGTATTACAGGTTTGACTTTAGAGATGTTCCCTTGGAGGCTAAAGAGATCTTGGTGGAAATGACTCATATTACCATTGCCAATCTGGTTGCTGAATGTGCTGGGAACGTCACCGATGTGGTGGCCACGCCAGTTGTCGTCCGCTTAACTGTCAAGTCTCCAAGTCTCACTCTCACATGGGATACCAACGAAGAATACTACTTAGATGTTCAGAGTAAAGGTAATCACATCATCAGCTTACTATAATTCCCCACTGAGGGGCTCGGAGCCTACCCTAAATCAAGGGTGACTAGGCCTTAGTCAACCACGCTGGTTGTCAACCAGTGCGGGTTGGTTGACTTCACATATTTCTTTAAATTTATGCTCAGATATGTGCAGGTTGGATCACGATGTTTTCCTTCAACGTAAGAACGTCGAATAAATATACACATGTAAATCGAAAAACACATTGATACATGGCGGGATTCGAACCCAGGACCTGCAGATTGCAAGTCAAGTGCTCAACCCACTGAGCCACCGACGCTCTGAGTGAAGATAATATTAAAGATTACTTCTAGAATAAATACTTTTAGACAATATTAGTTAAAATCATTTGATGCGAAAGGCGCGCTTTCGTTACCAAGTCAAGTGTCAGATTGAAGTGAGGGGGGATTGAAGTAAGCGTTGATATTTTAATAAGGCTAGTGTTGCGCCGATACACCAGCACAGTGTCAGATTTTCTTCCTAATAATACGAAAATAGATTTAAGTATGACATGGTGTTCTGTAAGACTCTATTTTGTTTGAAGTTGAGGAATTTTCTAGAAGTTACGTATTGTTATTACAATTTAAGGGGCGTACATTTATTAGTTAGCTGCGGAATCCATGACAGCGAAAAAAAAAGATTTATGCCTTTATTGAAAACGTTGTTAAGAAAAACGAGCAATTAAATGAGAAGAAACAATATGCATGAATTTGCTAAAATAGCGAATAAAATGGGGAAAACACTGTAGGTAGAAAAATACTATACAGCTCTTAGAAACAGCAGTTTAACACGATTTCAATTAATAAAGGCCGTAAATCTATATCCGTCTTTGTTTACTATCGCGTGAAACGTATTCGCGATACATTTGACGACCTCGTGCGGTTTTCGCAGGAACTGCTGCTAGTGTATACCGACCCTTATTTGAGAGTACACAGTGTGATATACTCAACTAGTTTACTCACACTGCCCTTAGTGTATAGTAAGATAAATCTACCGTATGTAGAGTAGTGTAGTTAGTGTATAGCGACCCTTATTTGAGAGTATACATCATGAAATACTTCTACTATATTACTCACACTGCTCTTAGTGTAAACTTCAAGAAATCTACCGTATGTGAACGTTTAAATAATCATTAAACTACCCTTAGTGCGGTAGTTGTAGTTATAAAATCATATGTGTTTATAATCTTTCTACATATATTTTCAATTCAACAATATGTAATCATCTTTATCCCTTCTTTAATTTCCTTTATACCTCATTTCAGGTGACATCGTAACAGTACACATATCAGCAGAAACAGTATACGGCGCGCGTCATGGCTTAGAGACGTTAACACATCTAACAGCCTCTGATAGACCGGTCTACTCGACTGAACAGAGATGCGGTCTTCATATCTTAGCTGCTGCAACAGTCCGAGATAGACCAGCTTATGGTCATAGAGGATTAGTGCTGGATTCTTCTAGAAACTTCATGCCCATGGTCGATATAAAGAGGACGATCGATGGAATGGCAGCTACAAAGATGAATGTATTCCATTGGCATGTGACAGATTCGCACAGCTTCCCGTTAGAATCGAAGAGCGTACCACAATTTACGAAGTAAGTAATAGACATTATTAATTAGAATCCTTTGGCGCGAATGGCGCGCTTTCGTTACAAAGTGAAGTGTCAGAATAATTTAGTGAGGGGACATAGACGTCGACATTTTAGTGAGGATAGTGTTGCGCCGACACACCGGCACAATGTCGGGTTTTCTTCCTAAGACTACATTTTATTTTTAATTATCACCTAGTTTTTACAAAAGAATTCATTATTGACTTACTTATAAATGTGAAAGTTTAAATTAATGGATGCAAAAAGGATCTCGTTGATTTGGCACCGATGGAAAGTCTGGAGTACATAGGCTTTATTAAAAGAGAACGGAGTCGTGGGCGACAACTATAGCTTATTTTTAAAGATCTAGTTTATTTTACTATTTACATAATTAAATATTTAAAAGAATGGTATTATTTGTATTTCGTATAATTTTGATTTCTTAGTTCGTTACAAAGATCTGCTAAAACAATTAAAATATAATATGTTAATGTTATTATTGTGCAAATGTATTTCTATACATTATGAAACATATAATTGCTAAAACAAGTTGCTTTAAATTGAAGGTTTACTTCATTAAGTGCGATTGTTTCGAACAATCAGACATAATTACTGTTTATATTTGCGGTTAACGAACATCATTTTATAAAAACATATTGACTGTGGACGCAATCATAAAAGTATGCAGTAGTTTTTAATTTATTATAAAATATTTATAAAAAAAAAATTACGAACTATTATGTAATATTTATGAATTTATTTATAACAAAAATAAAATTACGTAATCGTTTATTTATTACCATGTTAATTACTACACCGTGATTCTTATAATAATAAACATTTATGAGTAAGCAAATGAGTAATAAATTAATGTACGCTAATATTTATAGTTACTATGCAAATGTCAGGGACGGACTTGGTATTAGAGTTCACTAAATAATTCGCTCCAATTATTTTGAGACGATTTTTATTATGAGTGGAGCGAAATGTTGTACCCCTTTTTAAGAAAATTAAACGCACTGATTAACAAATTTAAGATAATATAGAGAATAAGTGAATAAAGCTTTTTTTCTATCAAAATTAAAAAAAATATGGCGAACAATGGCGAACACTAGTATAATTAATTCTACTATCAATAACTCTTTACCTTAAAAATAAATGGTATTTAAACTAGTTGTATACTTCCAGATATGGAGCGTACTCCCCACACGAGTTGTACAGGACTGAGGAGGTCCAGGACCTGATACAGTACGCCAAGGTGCGCGGCGTGCGCGTTGTTATTGAGATCGACTCGCCAGCGCACGCCGGCAACGGTTGGCAGTGGGGCAAGGTAATGTACAACATTTTGACAGCGCAGAAGTCCATTGCAGCATAGCTTTTTAATCGGCAATTTTTAATAAAAACAGATTAGAAAGAGAAATTGAATTGGCAGGAAAGAGGATGTACAGAAAAGTTAATTATCCTTTTTTTATAAATCCACCCATTTGCTATCGTCCTACTTATTGAACATGCCTATAGGCATATATATTCGCTATTTAAGCAATATCAGGCCGCTTGCTCATTTGCCTTATCTTCCTTATCAATAGTACAAAAGCATTTAAATACACGACATATTATTTATCACAACATATCTTTTTTTCTTCCAGGATTACGGCTATGGTGATCTGGCTGTATGCGTGAACGCGGAATCATGGCGGCAACTGTGCATCCAGCCGCCGTGTGGTCAGCTGAACCCTGCCAACCAGGCGGTGTACCGCGTGCTGCGCAGACTCTACAAGGACATCGTCGACCTCCTGCCCAAGCCGGCGCTCTTCCACGTCGGCGGTGATGAGGTAAACATTCAAAAGACAATTTTTAAATTTTAAGAAATGATATTTATATTAAACTATTATACTTAGCGTAATGGCTGAAGTAACTAAACATTCTATAATATATGTGAAAAGTCTGACTCATTTGATTAAGTTCATTTCAACTTCAGCGTTTATGTAATCATTTATTTCCTAAAAGTTTTATATATTTCTAATTACAAGTAATTTGCTTTTAATCTTAAGAGCAAAATGTATTTCTAAACTGAATACTTTCTAACAGGTACACTTAGGTTGCTGGAATTCTAGTGAGGAGATAGTTAACTACATGAAACACAAAGGCTTAGACACTGATGTGGAAGGCTTCATTAGTCTGTGGGCGGAGTTCCACTCTAAAGCTCTCCAGATTTGGGATGAGGAGATCTTAGCGTCAGGTGGTGAGAAGCAACCCGTCCTCATTTGGTCTTCAGAGCTCACTCAACCTGGAAGGATCCAAAATTATCTAGATAAGGATAGGTAAATATTTTTTTTATTGGTTTCTTTGACTTTGATCATATTTCGGAAGAGGATATTTTCTGGTCTTCGCGACCCTTTGAAGCCTTATTTTTAGTTTTCTTATTCTTCTAGATACATAATTGAAGTTTGGGAGCCCCTAAGCAGTCCGTTACTGACGCAGCTGATGCGTTTGGGTTACAAGACGATATCTATACCAAAAGACATTTGGTACTTAGACCACGGCTTGTGGGGCAAGACCAAGTACTCGAACTGGCGGCGTATGTACGGACACCTGCTGCCGCGCGAACCCACCGTGCTGGGCGGAGAGGTCGCACTCTGGAGCGAGTATATTGATGCTCAGGCCTTGGGTAAGTTCTAAGGGTATTGAGTGAGTGGAAGAAAGCTTTGGAATTTGTATACTTGTATGAAAATCAAATCGTTGTTTTTAGCCAAAGTTTCAAAGACGACATTTATTTTTTCTGACAGACAGGCCTTATGGAGCTTTAGATCGTTAGATCACAGGTCTTAATAGTAGCTTAAATTCAGCATGAAATTCATAAAAAGTCACTGAATCCTGAACTCCATTAGCTTTACCTCTTTCCATAAAAATTATTCAAATTAAATATATTTTACTATGAAAGGCATTGGGAAACTCCCATGTCTAATAGTGATGTAATAGGCGGCTGATGATGATGTTTACTGTTCAGACACTCGTGTATGGCCTCGTGCTGCGGCGGTGGGTGAGCGGCTGTGGAGCGACCTCCGCAGCGGGTTCGCGGCGGCGGAGCCTCGCATGCAGCGGCACCGCGCGCGCCTGCTGGCTCGCGGCCTGCGTCCCGACGTGCTCACACCCGCCTGGTGCGCGAATCATGACTCTAGATGCTTCTAGAACACTTACCGCAGGTATACACCGATTCAAACTTAATGCGAGCTCCGTTCGATTGCTGCGCACTCTTATTGTAAATTCCAATCGCAGTGACAAAACACATTTTAGACTTTATTTTGTCAACGAAATGTAAGGAATAACAATTTTTATACATGCAAGTATCAGTGCTGTGGAGTTCAAGGGAATATCAATAAGATGTAATTAGCATTATAAGGATGCAGTGGGTTTACCTACGAAGTTCAGTGCTGGCAATTAACCTCGAGCCGTTATAAAGTTTGAATCTTATATTACAACGCTTGTAAAAAGAACGAGTTAATATACTCTACTTACACAATTTTTAGCACATTCTAGAACAAATGGAATTATTCCTATTTATTTTATCAATTTCATTTTGAACAAAACCAAAGTATAAAAGTTTGTCTTATAGAAATCTTGGTCTCTACTATAACTACGTTCGTAGTTTGTGTCTTTAAAAATAGCATAATGAAACTCGTTAAATATTTCGGTTACTTATTATACAGGATGTTTACTTTAAGTAGTTGTTATTTTAATTTAAGTAAGAATTTAAAGTAGAATTAAGCAAATTATTAACAAAATGTGTATCTTAATTATTTTTAGTTAAACGAAGTATATTTTCGGCAAAGTGTTATAAAATTATTTAATGTAATTCATGATTTAGTTTTATACTTGCCACATTTGATAAATGGTGCTAATAATAATATTAGGTTTAATTTTTATACGATTAGATCTCAGTTATAAAATAATAATTATTATTTACTTTATAAATGACATTAGCTGTAAAATATTATTATATTTTTAAATATAATAAGTTTAAGTTAATAAATTGATTGTTAAATATTTGTTTTTATTTCCATTACGTCAGTATAACCTATGAACATCGCAAAATAATTGTTATTTGAATACGTCCCTGGCGACCGATTATTACTAATACAGTTTTGTATTGATAAGTGTACAGTAAACCTTTTCGTGTTGTGGGAAAAACTGATGGTATATCTTAGGTTATAAGGCTTGCTTAGTTACAAATTACCTAATTCAGTACATGTGAAATGTGGTTCGTGATAAAAAACTACGAACTATATTTTTGAATTTCGCGGTACACCAATTCATGTTTATGGTAGGTAGGTAGGTATGACGTAATTTTTATTCTCACCACACAAGTGGGTAGTTAAAAATATTTCATCGCTACTGTCGTGCGCGGGACCTGCGGGGTTTGTGCGGGGAGGGCAGTGAATCCGCAGAGTTTAGTCAGTCAAGGGAAATTGGCGTGAAAGGGATACGCATCGAACGTGTCGTGTATCGGTTACTTAGCGTACATGGTCTCTCGACTATTTGGTTGTGTGTTTGGACCGTTAACAACGAAGTGTAAACGCGCTTACGGGAAACGATGCATCGGTAGCATAAAGCATAAAGACTATTTGAAAGACTTTGACATCGATTGACATCGACATAGTGACGAGGTAACTGCAGGCGGTCAACGGGGCATCGAGTTGGTGAGTGCCATTTTAAATATTAACAATACTACGCCATTCCTTGCAACGCGTAGTCCGAAGTATACCGGGGTTGCATTCTGTTTGTTTTAACCGACTTCAAAAAGGAGAAGCTCTTCAAGTCAATTGTCATTTTTTATGTATGTATTTTTAGACATTATTAATTACAATTTGGCGCGAATGGCGCGCTTACGTTGCAAATTCAAGTGTCAGAATGATTAGTGATGGGAGATAGACGTCGATATTTTAGTAACGCTAGTGTTGTGCCAGTATACCGGATCAATGTCGGATTTTCTTCTTAAAAGGATGTATGTATAACGATAACGTTGATATTTATGATTGGATTTTTGTCATTTGGATTGTGAACTTAGTAGAATTTTGGATAACAAATTAATTCATGTTATTCAGTAATGTTACTTTATTTATCTGTTATATGAAAATCTTATTATTTAACAATCATCTACAATTAAAGCTATAAACAAAACAACAAATAATTTATTGATATAAGAAAATAATAATTTTACATAAAGCTATAAAATTAAAATTTCGAAATACTACGATGCTTTTCATCCTAGTCTTATATTTATCAACTAAAAATGAATATAGCAATAGTGATACATTGTTTTCTACGATTCTATTTTACAATATATTTTTTCTACAATCGTATATTATAATTAAAATAATTTTATAATTAAGTTTTATCGTACATTATCACTAAGAAGTAAATTGACTAGGAAACGAAAATCGTTTCGGTTTATTGATAGAATAAATTGAACGCATTGAATAAATTTTATACGGGTCCGTTGACGACAATTTAATGTCTATCAAAATTATAATTAATACGGTTTAACGTACCAAAATAAATGCGTTATATTTTACTGTGTTCAAAACAGCCATTGTTAAAAGAAATAACTGAGATTGGCTTATAAATTCTGAGAATTATCTAAAGTGGGGAAAAACATAACTAAAATAACGGACGGACAGATAGCGAATAATGTCCAATGTATGTGTTCTATTAGTATTTCAAAGTTAGTAGGTAGAAGTAAATTTTTATAAAGCAGACGATACTAATGGCCCACTGATACAAAAATAATCTATGATATGATAGCCTAGTACAGAATTTATTCAATGAAAAATTAATACAGACGCGTCCATCAAATTCACATATTTACATTATTCCTGTTAAGATTTCTTTCATTTATATTCTTCACTGCACCCAGACTGAGATCATTTGGTACAAGATCGTGTAACACTGTATCACTTCTAAAGATACTTGTTGCTATTCTATTAGCAAGCCTTTCAGATTCTCGTAAATCATCGTCTTTAGATGAATGAGATGTTAGATCGATTTCTGTATCACTATCACTGTCGCTTGTATCTTTGAGATCTTCTCTAGGTCTGTAAGCCAAATTTTGCGGTTCATTTAGATCTTGAACTGTTGGGCCACAATGACAATTATTGGTTGTCTTAGATGACATAACTCGTAAATCTGTCGGTACTATTTCGTTATCCATGTGTTGTTGCATCAATAATGGTGGAAATGGAAACGGCTGTTGCATCATTCTATTTTCTTCGTTAGTATATTGCATCGGTGGTGGCATTTCGTGGACCGGCGGTGGTATAGAGTCTGTTATGTTGCCGTTGTGATGGTATGTATCGGGTCGTGGCGATTTTAGTTCTCTGTTATCCATTGCCGGTGATGGTTCGGGTGAATCTTTGTCGTTTGGTGATTCACCACCTTCGGGAGACGAGTCTGGTGGTTTTGTGTGGCCTGCAAGAAAATTAATGTGGTCTATACAATTACAAGAGGTTTGCGGTGAATGTTTACCTCACCATCAGATAATTCATAGGTTATTTCGAACCTAACTGGTTTAGTGAGATTATTTCGCGGTCACCCCTTGTCTCACACTGAATAGAGAATTCTAACAAAATTTAAATGTTGCCGATAAAACAATTAGATTTTAATTTTAATACATTACTTGGCATGGGCAATGGCGGGGTACCGAGGCCGAGGCAGCGCATCCGCCACGCGTCCTGCAGCAGCTGCAGGCGTGCCTGCTTACGCCACTTCGCGCGTCGATTTTGGAACCACACCTGTAAACGATGAGTTAGCTTCACTGATTTGTAAAGTTGTTTGTTTAATTGTAATTGCAATTACAAGGCAAACGCATTGATTTTAACTTCGCCTACTTATCCGTAGGGATTTTAAACAAGCATAAAATTCAGAAACCGCTCAATGTTCGGACCGAGCGGTCCAAAAAAGTAATTTGCGTCAATAGTAAGGTGGATTCTAAGATATAGGATTTGCGTAGAGGTTAAGGTCCATTGAAGCCGGTGAAAAGGGTGCTAAAACACCGGAAGGCTGACTAGGGTTACATTGTTTTAGCACTTATTTAATTTAGTATTAGAATAATACAGGAACAACAATCGCTGCGATAATTATGAAGCGAATTTATCGCTCAAAGTATTGTTATATTTTTGAATATCCAATAATAACCAAATTCGGATAGATACTGCTTTATAAAACAACTCATCATTGCATCTTAATATCGCTACAAAATTCTAATTTCCAAAAAAACATGTGTAAATAATTTCAGTTAATAATTAAACAAAAGAAGACGGAAATAACCCCAACCTATTTGAGTATATTTTATATAAATCAAATGTTTTTATTAGCTTATGTAATTATTAAATCGCGAAAACTAAAAGGCGTAAACAATTCTGCAAGCGATTCTATTGAATGAGACAGCTTGAAAACCACAAAACGTTTAAAGACGCCTTGAAATACGTTTAATCGGAGTCTTCACAACCACACCCTTAAGTTGTCAATTTAAGTTGTATAAGATGGGGTAGATTAGTTTAGATGTAGCACCAATAAAGGCGTGTTTACCCTTAGTCTAGGAACTGTAGTAGTAATTTTAATTTTATTTTTAAATAAATAATTTACTAATTTAGTTTTATTTTTAGTTTGGTTTAGTTTAAGTATATAGTTTATTTAATATAGTATTAATTAATTCGTTTATTTTGTAGTGGTTAGTTATTTCATCATCATCAGCTCACTACACGTCCCCACCGAGGGACTCGGAGCCTACCCTAAGTTAAGGGTGATTAGGCCATAGTCAACCACGCTGGCCAAGTGCGGGATGGTTGACTTCACACATATCTTTGATTTTTTTTCTCAGATATGTGCAGGTTGCATCACGATGTCTTCCTTCACCGTAAGAACGTCGGATAAATGTACATATGTAAATCGGAAATCGAAAAACACAGTGGTACACGGCGGGATTCGAACCCAGGACATGCAAATTGCAAGTTAAGCTTGACCACTTAGCCACCGACGCTCGTTAGTTATTTAGTAAGATTATATTTTAATTTATAGTTAGGTTAATGATATTCTTCTTGGTTGAATAAAGATTTAATAATTTCATCTTAACGAGGACATTATAGAAATGAATAAAGACGAATTGTAATAAACATAATGTACTGAAAGAATTTGAAGTTATAATGGTCTTTAAATATGTGATTAATTTACGTTGTCAAATAATTATTTATTATCGTATTTTTGTTTCCTTACTTATAATTATAATTATTTAACTCTGTTTAACTCTACTCTTCAAAAAATTAACGCATTTGAATTAATCGTACCCAAAAATGTTTCTTAACGGAACAAATTTAATTACCACTCACGTTTTCTAACACCTTGGAGTATGCAATTATCATATTATTTTATCTGATTTACACATATAATATCAAAATGCTGCGTTTCAAATAAGAATGTACGCGTTAATGATTTTATTATTAAACTCTCAGCTTTATTAAAAAGTATATTTTTTAAGACGCATCTAATTTACGGTATATTTTATGACGTCACAGTACAGCTGGTTCACACACAATCTTAAATCGCATTAAAGCAAGATGGTAAATACAAAAAATAATAAAGGTCAACACGTAATCACCGAATTAGTTATAATATATATATAAATTACAATAAATTGGATCGTCTGCAAATCGAAAAAAATATTTCGCAAACATTTTTGCGTTGCTTATGATATGAGAATCCTTTTTTTTATGTTTTACGTCTGCCCGCAAATCCGCGTTTGTTCCGAGTAATCTCCGAAACGGCTAAACCGATTTTGACGGGTACTTTAACTGTAAGGTAGTTTATGTGTGCGGGAGTAACATAGGCTTTTTTTTTTAAATTCCGCGCTGGCCAATTCGGAAAGAATTAAAAATAAACTTTAACAATCACTTATTACAAATTTCAAGTGTAAAGACTTGTAAGTACACTGTCACATTTAAAACTTAAAATTAAATAAATAAAATAATTTTTATAAATTAATTATGGTTGTC